GGTCACGACTCCTCACTAGAACCTCATTTAACTACCTGCCTGAATAGGGAAAGTCGCTAGAGAGCATCTCATTGATGTGAGGATATGTGAGGACAAATACTCGCCGAAGATATTGGCTACTGGTTGCTCTGTGTCGTGAATAAGCAGAAGTTAGAATTCATGGGCCATTGTATCGGTTCCCAGTGGCTGAATGGTCTACGAGCTAGCCTTGTAACCAGAAGGTCCTGGGTTCCAACCCGGGTGGGTCCCAAACTAGGACGAAACAGCTATCCAGTACTCCCAGGTTTTCCAATGGTTCTCTAACTAATGTCAACTCATGATGAAAATCCTGTAACCAATCAAATCTCTACAAACCAACACTTCAATATGAAATTCTAATTGTTGTTGTGTAAAGGATGAACAGTGTGAGTAAAACGATCACCAGAGAGTAGCAGAGTACATTTTTTGGTCTTACATTTTGATTCTGCTTCACTGATTGTTAGCAAATTGTCTCTGTATCATTTGACTCCTAGTGTATGAGTCTAAAGACGACATTCATCGCAGTTCCTAATCATGTTGTATTACATAGCTTAATGAATAAATTGTATAAGTGACAGAGAGGAATTTAGATCATAGATTATACGAATAAAGAAAAAAGAACGACTACTTTTCGGTGAAAACATTTGTGTAAATAAACATTTCACATCAAAGTTTAGTTGAGTGACAGTAATGTAAACACTGTAAAACAAGAGAAGAACAAATGTTTCAACTTCTATTCAGGCGCTTTTAGAGAACTGAATGGTGACTGGACTACAAGATTATTATTATTATTCCCTTTGGTTCTTAGTGGAACATGGGGCTTCAACAACACATCTTCACTTTATTCTTTCTTCTGCTGTCCTCTTCAGTTGGCTCCACGACTGATCCGAATCTCTCATCTTCTCCCCACCACACAATCTCATCCATGTCATCCTCGCACTGAAAACACACTCGCCCCTTTTTTACCGGGGTTCCACTCGAGCAGTGTCCTGCATTGTGCGCGTATGCCCGAGTCATCTCCATTTTCTCCTAAATATTTGTTGAGCAATGGTCTCTTGGTTGGTTTCTTCGCAGTGAGACTTTCTAGTCGCTAATTCTTCTGGTCATTTGATCTTCAGAATCGAGCAGAGAGAGCAGCTGTTAAATAAAAGTTTGTACTAGTCTGTTAGAAATCTTTTTTGTGAGGCGCTCGGCAAGTGTCTGACCCGTATATAAGAACTGACTGACTTCACATTTGTGCTGAACAGAAATCGAATCTTGTTCTTTACGCTGGCTGTGTACAGGAAATTTCCTAAAAAAATGGTATCAGGTTGATGAATGCGTATCTTCCCTTCCCAATTCTGGCTAGTTTTGACATCTTCACCTGTTATGATTGCCTGCAGTTGAAATGATGCTTCCTACAAAACTGAAGGAAGTAACCTCTTTCAAATCACTCCCATTGATGGGGATTCGTGCTGGTTGTTGTTGCTGTTGGTTGGTTATCTTCATCACTCCTTCCTCTCTATGTTCACCTAGAGTCATGTCTTCACTTGCTTCTTCTTCAGCCAATTTGTTGGTTTCCGCCTGTTCGTAAGTCTTCGAGTTTGTGTGACATAGAACATAAATCATCCATGCACGAAATCCAAATCTTCTAGAGTCTCCTTATCGGTGGTTCAACATATTCCTGTTTTTCACCCCTCATACTCTGACGCATAATCCAGTCCACCACAATTAAGAATACAGGATGAAACCCCCAAATATCTTAATGGGAAGTCGTGACTAGTGCGGTACACCAGGTTTGGTTTGACGTCAGATATTCGTTACTGACATTGGCTAGCGGTCACGCTATATACCGCGGGTTGATGGTCTATTAGATTCGATTCTCCTAGTAACCTGGACATCATAGGTCCTTCACTCCATGGTTGAGTCGTAGGTGCATACTCCCGAAGAGTCCCAAACAAGTGCGAAACATCCATTAGTTACCCTTTGATTTTCAGTGGTCCCTAACTGAAGTCAGTTTGTAATTAACCTGGAAATCTTAAGGCTTTTAATTCAACTAACCAATCCTAGTTTAGATATTTAAATGGGAGCTTAATTTTCTGAAATAAATCATTTTAAGAGGTGAAAAGTACGAATTACTAATTTTTCTGAAATATTCCTGAAAATTGCTTTACGTGTAACTATTGAAACTCTATTCGAAAGCTCTAATTAGTTTTAAGGCACTGTACGTATTTGAGGTGTTTTGAACTGATCAAGCTCTCTGGGCAAGTTAAAGTGTGTAAACTCCGAATCGGCCAGCGTGGCCTGCTGCTTGATGTGAGTGACTTCCAACTACTCATATAAGTCAGTAGCATGTAACATCTCATTCGCTTTCTTGATTGTCATTCATGGAACCGAAAAGACTACATATTTTGTCTGATTGAATTATTCATCATTCAAATACCTCCTTATAATTTCAAAGAGTTTCATATAAGAGTTTGGTTTTTGTTTGATGGGAATCAAAAATGAAAGTCTGATTTTACAACAAAGATTACTAGCTGCAATTCATTGAAAGAAACAGTGAAGAAATTATACGCTTGCATAGATCGAAAGTCATTGTGGTTCGTAAACAGTAGATGCACAAAAAAGAAACACCGAAGTATAAATGTATTCCTCTATGTCGAATTTTTCAATCCCCTGCCTAACAAATATGCAGAAAGAAATAGAGAAGGGATGGATCCACGCTGTGGAGATTGTCGATTGGCATCATACACAGTGCAGGCCCTCACACAGAAGCTGCATGGGAAGCAAGCGACGCTTTGCACGCTGCTCTGTGGGTGGTATAAAGAAAATTGTGTTAAGCAGAGGAAATATGGATTTGTAGGCAGTGACGAAGCCGGCTGAAAGTCTTTGCAGAGAAGAAAGTGAAATAATGTAATCCTGTGTTCCACTCAGAATACAACGAAAGATTAATCATAAAAATTATAACAACTATACTTGTATGAACTCAGAACTACTGTTTAACCATCAGCACTAGTAATGCGAAAAGTCTGTCTTCTCATAAATCATTACAAAATAATCACATTTGTCAGCTGTTATCCCCAATAAATGAGCTGACGTTTACGTCATCCTCTCACTGGTGTTTTCAATGAATCATTTTCCAGTAGCACAGTGCCTGCTTCTTCGAAGAACATTAGAGTTGTTCCTGTGCCTTAATCACCAAGTGGACAAGTTGTTAAGTTCAGACCTATCGCCATTACTTCACCTTTTCTAAGAATAATGGAAAGACTGTTTTTACCTAACCTAGGACCTTCATTGAAGGCCTTTAATGACACTGATCAATTTGTTTGTAAGGTGTACTTTAGATGCCACTATCTTCGTATATCACAATATCGTCTCTAGTTTAGGTAGAGGTGATAAATATGTTCGGTTTGGCTTCATAGATTACACATCTACATTTAACTCTGATTATATGACTGTTTTGTTAAACAAAATTGCTGTGTCACAAGCACAGTGCTGGATTACCAAATGGTTGCATTCCTTTTGTTCTGATAGGAAGCAGTACACTGTTCACAGTGGGAAGTCCGCCACTGCCTCCTTCACATACTCTAGCTGGTGTTACTTAGGGAGCTGTTCTTTCTCATTTCCCGCTTTCTTTCTCCTTACAAGACTTGCCGATGATCCGTCTGACTGTTTCTGTGCAGGCGGTTACTTCTCAGTCAGACTGTTCCAAAATGACTAACGTTTTATCAGAAATTTCTCAGTGGTCCTTTTCAAATGGTCCTCAGCTCTATCCCTTCTTCCAATGTCAGTTTGTTAATTTAACTTTCAGACGCAAGCGCGATTTCCGTGGACTGGTTAGTTTGCATGGTTTCACCATCACAGATTGCACTGTAGTTGAAGTCAAATCAAATGTCAAATACCTTGGACTGTGTATTTCCCCCGATCTTTCCCGGTCTTCCCAGATCATGTTAGTTTCCAGGAAGATAATTCGTTTGATGTTCTACGTAAAGAAGTTAAGATAATCTGGTATTATTTCGTCTCTACTGTAACCACTTGTTAATTTTTTGTATTCTGCCTATACTTCTTTACTGCTCCCTCGATCCTGAATATTTCCTTGACTGCACAAGAAATACTTTGTTGTGCTGCGTTGGGCACCAAAAGCTGTTAGAAGGGGGATCTGGGTGTTGTTAAACCAACTCGTTAATTTTGTTGTAGATAAACATTTGGATTCCAGCAAGATATTAGCAAATATTATCCTATCCGACTCTGAACATCCTCTCCATACACAACTCTCTCCTTGAATGTCCTCAGTTGGGTAGAACTAGAAGCAACTATAGAAAACTGTATGCTCGGATGACTAAGTATAAAAACTCTACAGTACCTTATTCATCTGGGAAACATTTTATATGATGAGAAAAGTGTAAGACAGGAAATTACCAACTTACTGCTGAGGAGCTCTAAGTAAACGGTACTATTTTTTGTTCTCATTGTAACAATGTTGTTATTATTTTCACTTAATTTAACTTTATATTCATATTTACATTGAACAATATTGTCGATGTAAATGCCCTCTTTTAATTTAATTATTACCCCCGCAATGAGAATATTAGATACATTCTTGTTTTGTTCTGTATATGTACCAAAATACTGTGCGTCGGTGGCCCAGCGGTAGAATGCTCGCCGACGACACCTCATGTGGTCCGGGGTCCGATCCCCGACCACCGACGCACTCCTTTACCTCGCTAAGCCATTATTGAAGCTGGTAAAGAGGAAAGGTTGGGCATGAAGCTATCAACCCTATCCTGTAAAAATAAACATTACTGTTACAGGAACTCCAAGACTCAAGCTTGAAGCCCTATGTTCCAATGGGAACGTAAAGGAATAAAAACCACAACCAAAATACTGTTTGTAATAGAGCTATTATTATTATTATTCACTATGATATTTTACTAACTTAGCCTATTGCATAACTCGATGAATCTATTTCTTCTCTCCCTGTATGACGGATATTTACACTTTAGATGAGCCGTTCGACTGGTTTGTGGCTACAATATTTCTTATATACAATACAAATTATAAAAGTGCTTGGAATTTCTTATCCAGCTTTTCTAAACTTCCTCATTCCCTTTACCTTTGGCCTAACAGATGCAAGCATGTAAGTATAATGAGCTAGTGTTATCACCTACATTATTACAATAATCGATTATTTCTATTTTTAGATTGTTTATACTCAAGGTTAAATATGACATGTTTGAACAGCAGGGACAACACAAAGCCTGAAGGCCTTTTGTTGGGTTTTTTGTAAAGATTAAAAGATAAGTCATTCAACTAGTTCATGTTTACTAAAGTTAAGGTTAGATAAAAGATTTAAATCTGTGTAGCCCCTCCCCCAGTGAGGTCTTATCTTGATAAGCAGAAAGCTGTAAGAAACAGACTTTTTTGAAGATAGAGGGAAGGAGAGGTAATAGCTCTCAGTGTAGATTTATTTAATGTTGATTTAAGAAAAATATTAATTTAATATAGTCTCTCAAGATAAAAAATATGTTATTAGATGGTTGGTGACAATTGGCGGGAAGCCTTACCTGAACTAGATTTCGTGGTAGTTGGCACTCAGCAGGAAGGCGTATCTGCTACCCTGAAGGAACTCATGTCGCTTCTGAGATTCAAACCCGCATCACCCAGTGAGTACTGCAGTCAGATACATTACCACTGAGCTATTCGGGCTCGCAATTCACCTCAGTAGGGACATGAGTTCCTTCAAGGTAGCAGATACGTCTTCCTGATGAGTGCTAACTACCACAAAACCTAGGTCAGGTAAGGCTTCCTGCCGATTGCCTCCAAACACATAATATCATCAAAACAATGTGCACCGTGGTGGCGAGCCACCTAGTGGCATGGTTGTCACATTGCAAACCTGACTGATAGAATTCAATCTGCACTAATCGAAGGGCTAGACACATCACACTAGTTACTAATGTCCAGTCAAATTACAAAGTGTTTGTTTTGGAAAATTTATTGACAAATAGACTGACATGGATCATGCGCATACACTGTCAATGTAAAGGCATTCAAGGAGTTTGATATTACACAGCAGCATTTTGTAATCCACACGGTGGAAGTCTGACTTATTGGATCTAGCACTTAACTATCAGTCAGTGGATGGCCGGACAGAATTATTCGCCGCCTACTTCATACTAAGCAGCTCAGTGGCTAAAACTGAGCATGTGAATAGTCATCTCCTACTCTGACTTTCAAAGCAGAAACACACCTTAAGGTAGGGAAAACAAGAAGTGTGGTCAGACTGCAGTCCTTGAGACTGCATGAGGAATACTGAAAATTTAATGACTCTGAATGTCCACATACAGAAAATGCATTCAAAACAATATCAACGGTTATTTTGATTTGACACCAGTAACAAGTGTGATCTGTCTAGTCCTTTGTTTAGTGCAGATTGAATTCTATCAGTCAGGTTTGCAATGTGGCCACCATGCCGCTAGGTGGCTCACCATCACGTGCACATTGATTTGATGATATTAGATGGTTGGAGGCAATCGGCGGGAAGCCTTGAACCTAGGTTTCGTGCTAGTTGGCATTCATCAGCAAGGTGGCCACATTACAACCTGACTGATAGAATTCAGTCTGCACCAAAAGAGAGGACTAGAGACATCACACTAGGTACTAATGAAATCGAAATATCCACTACAGTCCTACAGGGGGTCAATCGCGAGCCAAAATAGCTCAGTGATCACGTCTCTGACTGCGGCACTGGGTGACGCGGGTTCAAATCTCAGAAGGGACATGAGGTCCTTCAAAGTTGCAGATACACCTTGCTGATGAGTGCCAACTAGCACGAAACCTAGGTCGGGCAAAGTTTCCCACCGACTGCCTCCAACCATCTAATAATTCCAACGGTTTTCAGTGATGTCAGCAAATGAGTCTAAGCACTGACTGTTAATCTCATGAAGACTTCAGCCAGGTAGTTTACACCACTCTCCATGAAGTTTGAACGAAGGGTTAAGGACCTAGTGGAATGATGCGATATTTCGGTTTAACCATCCATAACTCTTTTCAAACCTCATCTTCGGTCACCTATTATGCTTGTTAGAGAAGGTATTGGCTTGGTATTGATTTGCATACGTCTTAGCCGTCTTAGTCAATGTGGCTTCTTATTTCCATCTGTCAGATTTTACTCCTTACTTAACACTTTACGCGCAGCCTCAATATTTCTCATCACATTATGATATATAACACTAAAAGTCTAGTTAACCCAAGAGTCTTATCATGGCTTGTATTTACATTTTAACTCCAATTATCTAAGTATGAATATTAGCATCAATCTGCTGCCTTACATAGATTTGCCAGAAAACAATATTATTGGAGTCATATAAAATGAGTAAATTCTACCAAAGATTTGACTTAACGCCACATTTCAGTATTTCTTAATGGGTGCATAGTACTATTACTATTAAAAAAGTAGCAACAATAATATTAGCATAATACTTGGTGGAAATTGTTGTACAATGGCGAAACATCTCAGTTTTCTTCTAGTTTCCACTGCATAATTTAGATATATAACAGGGAGGGGGAAACAGTGACTACGAGGATGATAGAGAATGACTCATTTTACTGCTTACACAAAACTTCAAATCGATATCTTTTATGTCTTCATTTTGAGTGGAACGCAAACAGAAAGTGACAAGTTTAGCGTATGAGCGTCTGGCATGCTGAAGATTATATTGGGAGAGGAAATTGAAGCTTTTGGGCAGTCATAGAACCAGGTGAAAATGACCTCAGAAAACACAGTGAAATGGAAATGTGCTGCCTTGTGTTCCACTCGAAGTCGAAAGGAAGAATGATAGAAATTATAATAATCACCTTCAGTTTGTTTATTCATATTGGAATTATCCCTCCGATATTTATCTGGACTGAACAGATGTGTTTCATTTCGCTTCATCATGCATCGGTGATTCAGTAATTGGATACTCACCAGCCCCGCCAAGAGATTCGGGTTTGATTATCGTCCGAGTCACTCCTAAATCTTGCCTTCTTTACCAGCTGATAGAAACGTTAGCAAGGAAGACGGCAGAGTTGGGAGATAATGACCGATATTGTAAAGGAAACAAACTCACCTCTAATGAAACTTCAAGGACTGAGGCGAAAATGTTCCACCCGGAACGTGAGAAGCGTTTCGTTCCGTCGACGCGAAATGACAAATTTGAAAGAACAATATTAAATCATCTCTGTTGCTGAAGAGATGCTATTTGTCGGAAACGCTTTTGCGGCTGAAAATGTGGGCACTAGGTTCGTATTTCAGTGGTGAAACCATTGTGGTTCGCTGAGGATTAATGCTCATCCAGTTGACCAGCCCCAAATATGCCGAAACGCAGCTTACCGTCTCTAGTCACATCAACAATCCGGGTGACAAGCCGGAGATCATATGGGGAGGAGATTAAAAGCTTGTGAGAAGTCATGGAGTCAGGTAAAACAGATCAAAGAGAATAGAGAAAGGTGTAGTGTACCACTAAAAACCCCATGTTCCACTCGGAAGTCAAAGAATGAACAATACTAATCAATAATTATAGTTGGATTGACAAGAAGACTCTAGAGTATCTGGAATTCGCGCGTGGATGATTTATGTTTAATGTCACACAAACTCGAAGACTTACGAACAGGTGAAAACCAGCAAACTGGATGAAGAAGCAGGCAGTAAAGAGATGACTCCAGGTGAATATAGAGAAGACGGAGCTGATAAAGATAACCAACCAGCAGCAGCAGCAACAACAACAACCAACACTAATCACCATCGAAAGGGGAGAGATTTGACAGAGGTTACTTCGTCCACTTATCTAGGAAGCACGGCTTCAACCAAAGGCAGCTGGAACAGATGACGATGTCAAAGCAGGCCAGAATCGCAAAGGCAAGATTCACCTTCATCACATCATCATCATCAACGTAAAGCCAGTTTAGTAATCTTCTGCAATCAGTCAGCATAAAGAACAAGATTAGGATTTTCAGCACAATTGTGAAGTCAGTCAGTGCTTCTATGCAGGTCACGAAAAGGATTTCGAACAAGTTACCACACACTTTTGTCAACAGCTGCCTCTTTCGCTAGCTCCATAATGAACATCAACTAGCCAGCCCACTAGAAAGAATTAACAACAAGCAGCAAACCAACAGGCGAGAGCCGATCACTCAACAGATATGTAGGAGAAAAATGGGAATGGATTGGTCTGACATACATTGAGGTGGTCATCGGATGACATCGCACGCCACTCAGACCATTGCTTGAATGAAATTCCAGTGGGAACTGAAGAATATGTCGTTGGTGCGAGGGCGACATGGATGAGATCGTCGCTACTAAAACTTCAACGCCTGAAGAGCTTGATATCCAATATTACACTAGGAACAGGAAAAGGGATTCCACTTCAAGAACACAACATCACAGCCATGCGTTCCACTCGATGAAAATTCATTATATCTTGGAACACTATCCCATACTGGGGATCCACAGTTCTACTGCTTGCCAAACTACTATTCTATCCTAACTGATAAATTCTTCACTAGTTTTTCAAAGTAGACACTTTTTTCAACTGAACAATGAGTGATATTCGATGAAATGTTATCAATATGTAACAAACATTGAAATACTATTAAGCAGAAGGGATAGAAATAAAAAAAAGACATTCAGCCTAAGGGCAAGAAAGGAAATGAAAGCATTGCGCAATAATATTTCATTTGGCAGAAAAAAACTGAATGCCTTTGCTTTTTCTCTGTTTGCCCATTATAATAATAATAACTCTTTCTCTTCTGAAAATCTTACCTGCATATTGTTTCTCTGCCCTTCCCCTTTTCCTGTCTCTTTTTCATTTTTCATTTTAGACTAAATTTCGTGATGTCTTCTATTTAAAATCATGCCAATATTTTGAGCATTTATTAGCTATTGAATGCTCAAATATATTCAGTGTATTTGTCATGTCTGAGATTAGTCCAGTTCAAGTAAGTTACATAACTCTATGTGTGTTTGTCTGTATGTGGGTTTCTGTGTGTGTGTCTTGAACGAAATGTGAAGATTTTATGTGATAATCCCCATGTGTTTTTGTCATGTTGGCCGTGGCTTTCTGTTGTTCCTAGTCGATTAAATATGTCAGTCACATGGTTTGAAGAATGGTATTCACACAGAAATTATAACTGTTAGCTAACTTACTTTCTCACTGTTCACACATTGAAACCGTGGTTCAATGATAAAATGACTGATTGCTAACGATACGTGTGAATGGGGGGTTCAACTTCTGGCTGTCGCAGTAAGGTCGGCATTCTTAACTGGTATAATTCAGTCTACACTAAAGAAAGGACTAGACACAGCATACGCTAGTTGCTGACTAGTGTTCAATGAAAAATATCCAACACAGTGCTACAGAAGGTCAATTTATTATTATTGTTTCCTTTAAATCCTAGAGGAACATAGGGCTTCAGCTGTGCGTCTCCATTGCGTTCGGTTCTCTGCTAGAGTCTTCACCTGGCTCCATGTCTGCCCACACGTTTTCATCTCCTCTTCACGTGACCTCCTCCAAGTCACCCTTGCACTCAAGACCAACTCGCTGCTTCCCTTTCGGGTTCCACTCGAGCAATGGCTTGTCTAGTGATGTCACTTGATGGTTTCCTCAGAGTATGGCCAGCCAATCCATCTCCATTTCTTCCTGCCTATTTGTTTCACAATCGGTTCCTGCTGCGTTGGTTCGCTCATTGCCAGAGATCCCTTCCTGTTGCTGATCTTTTCTGGCCGGCCATCTGATCTTGAGTATTGAGCGAAGACAACTGTTATTGAAGGTCTGTAGTTTGTTTGAGATGCTCTGCATGACGCGCTGGCCAAGTCTCTGATCCGCATAGTAGCACTGACTTCACATTGGAGTTGAAAATCCGGATCTTATTTTTGATGCTGAGTGCTGTTGACCTCCACACAGACTTGAGAATAGTGAAAGCTTGTCTTGCTTTTCCGATTCTTGCTTTGATATCCTCGTCAGTTCTCTTCGCCTGCAGTTGAAACGATGCTTCCCAGGTAGGTGGGTAGGTGAAGGAGGTTGTTTCTTTCAGGTTCCTTCCATTTATGCTGATTGTTGTCAGTTGTTGTTGCTGTTGCTGTTGGCCAGGAATCTTCATCATCTCTGTTTTCTCTTTGTTCACCTGAAGTCCTATCTTTGATGCCTCTTCTGCCAACTTGTTGCTTTTCGCTTGCATATCTTCCAGTTTGTGCGAAATCAGACATATATCATCGGCGAAGTCCAGATCCTCCAAGTTTTTGTGTGAGTCCATTTTATGCCTGTTTCCTCATTGCCCACTGTTTTTTTTTTTTTTTTGATTTACAGCTTGATTTCCACACTGTATTTTCAGTACAAGTGTGGAATTTTCAGCATGGATATCGGTTGCCCAAATTCAGGCATACCATAGATATCGGGTGTGCGCCGGCAGGGGATCGAACCCCGGACCATGTGCATGGTTGGCGAGAGTCCCAACCACTGTGCCACCGACGCACATTATCCAGTCTACTGCAATCAGGAAAATCATTGGTGATAGTGGGCAGCCTTGTCTTACTCCTGTCCTCACTTCGAAGGATTCCGTAATTTTCCCGTTGTGGATTGCTTGGCATGCAGCATTGTCGTACAGCTGTTGGATGAGATGTATAATGTACAGAAGGTCAATAGCGAACCAAAATAGCTCAGTGATCACGTCTTTGACTGCAGCACTGGTTGACACGAGTTTGAATCTCAGGAAGGACATGAATTCCTTCGAGGCTTCCCATACGCCTTCCCAATGAGTTCCAGCTAGCATGAAACCTAGGTCAGGCAGGGCTTCCTGCTGACTGCCTCAAACTATATAATATCCTCAAGACTACTTTTACGCAATTCAATTGATAAAAATTAGGTCTACTTTCAATGAAGTTTACATGCTGTTTGTTAAGATTGCTGAACTTGTGTTTCTTTCTATTCTTTGTTCTCATTATATGGTTGTGAAATCTATTAAGTTTCAAGGAACTAAGCTCCAGTTGCTTCACGAACAACTACCATTGTTGTCACATGGTCCGTTGGATAAGCCAGATGTTAGGCTTAGTTTTATCATGGTAAGCAAGAAGACAATGTATTCTAGTGATCAGGTCAGTATGAAATATTGAGTTGGGTGAATTCTTCTCTCCAACTCTCAGTAGAAATGGGATCACTGGGCACCAGGTTGTGTACAAGGCCTGTTCTTAAATTTGAAGAAATCATAAATTCCGTATTATTTGGAGTGAACATTTTATACATACGCCTACCTACTGCCAGCCTTATTGTGTAATGTTACCTGGTAAGAAATTTGACTTCTTGAATTCTATCAGACCAGGGTCTTTAGGTGAACATAGAGAAAACAGAGGTGACGAAGATCACTGGCCAACGACAACAGCAACAACAACAGACAACAATCAGCATAAATGAGAGAAATTTGAAAAAAGTAACCTCTTTTACCTACCTACCTCGAAAGCATCGTTTCAACTACAGGCGGACGGAACTGGTGTGGATACCAAAGCGAGGATCACGAAAAAGAGGCAAGCTTTCATTACCCTCAAGTCTATGTGGAGATCAGGAGCATTCAACATGAAAAATAAGATGTGGATTTTCAACTCCAATGTGAAGTCAGTCAGTGCTACTATACGGATGAGAGACTTGTCGCCGCGTCACTTGAGCAATAGCTTGTCTAGTGATGTCACTTGATGGTTTCCTCAGAGTATGGCCAGCCAATCCATCTCCATTTCTTCCTGCCTATTTGTTTCACAATCGGTTCCTGCTGCGTTGGTTCGCTCATTGTCAGAGATCCCTTCCTGTTGCTGATGTTTTCTGACCGGCCATCTGATCTTGAGTATTGAGCGAAGACAACTGTTATTGAAGGTCTGTAGTTTGTTTGAGATGCTCTGCATGACGCGCTGGCCAAGTCTCTGATCCGCATAGTAGCACTGACTTCACATTGGAGTTGAAAATCCGGATCTTATTTTTGATGCTGAGTGCTGTTGACCTCCACACAGACTTGAGAATAGTGAAAGCTTGTCTTGCTTTTCCGATTCTTGCTTTGATATCCTCGTCAGTTCTCTTCGCCTGCAGTTGAAACGATGCTTCCCAGGTAGGTGGGTAGGTGAAGGAGGTTGTTTCTTTCAGGTTCCTTCCATTTATGCTGATTGTTGTCAGTTGTTGTTGCTGTTGCTGTTGGCCAGGAATCTTCATCATCTCTGTTTTCTCTTTGTTCACCTGAAGTCCTATCTTTGATGCCTCTTCTGCCAACTTGTTGCTTTTCGCTTGCATATCTTCCAGTTTGTGCGAAATCAGACATATATCATCGGCGAAGTCCAGATCCTCCAAGTTTTTGTGTGAGTCCATTTTATGCCTGTTTCCTCATTGCCCACTGTTTGTCGCATTATCCAGTCTACTGCAATCAGGAAAATCATTGGCATAAGTTCCAGGCGTTGTAGTTCGTTTGGTCATTGCTATATGCAAGCCCGACCACCACGTCAAGGTAGCAGCTATCGGTCGTGGTACTTGCGATGGTCATGTCTAATCAAAGCCCCACAAATTTTGTTTATTAACGTAGACAAGTAAATTCAATTTCAGTGGATATACATATGCTCTTCTGACTATCACTCACCTTATGTAAGTAAAGGACCCTTCTTTCACCTCTCCTTGTTTCATCTCTTTTTATATTCTGTTTTAAAAAAACACACATTTAGATATATTTAAGATGGACAAATCAATGCTACTGGAATTATTTTGACTGGTTCAATATCCTGAATTATTTATCCGTCTGCCTGATGAATCCAGTTCAATTTCAAATCTATGTAAATATTAGTATTATAAAACATCTTGGTCCAGCTTTACTTCAGGCTACAAATGAACAACCGACTAGTCAAGAACAACAACAAGAACAGCTGCTAATATTCTTACAGGTAACATTTATTTTCTACAGTTGGTTTGTAAGGATTAGATTAGTTTTTTATGAGTTGATCACGGAGTGATATCAATTACAGAACCTTTGAAAACAAACCAATGAGTACTGGACCACTGCTGTTTCATCCTAGCCCGAGAATCATTGGCAGTACGCATCTACCGCCAGCGTTCGAACCCAAGACCTTCCGGTTACAAGGCAAGCTCGTATACCACTCAACCATTGGGGCAAGATTTAATAGCCAGATCATGGATTCTAACTTTTACCAATTCGCAATTTTGTCGTGACCACCAACCAATGTCATTGGTGAGAACTCCATTCTCACACTTGACTGGATGGACCTCACTGGTCACGACTTCTCTCTAGAACTCCAGGAAACTCTGTCCTTTGGCACGTCACTAGCGAGCATCAGATTAATTTTCTATAGCTGGTTTGTAAGAATTAGATTTGTTGGTGGTGGTCGCACTAAATCACAAATTAGTTGAAGTTAGAATTCCTGGGCTGGTCATTGAATCGGGTTCCAGTGGCTGAATGGTATACGAGCTTGCGTTGTAACCGGAAGGTCCTGGGTTCGAACCCTGAGCGGTGGGTGCGTAATGCTGATAATTTTCAAACTTGGATGATACAGCAGTTCAGTGCTCCCTGGTTGATTTTAAATGGTTCTGTAACTGATACCAATCCGTGATGTACTCGTGATATTTATTTATACTCACGATACGTTTCATGAAACACTTTCAACATGTACTTTTTAGTGGTTTTTGGGTTCCGTAACAGTGTGTATGCACACTGAAATTCGTGATATACATTATTATTCCCATTCACAATTGTTGGTAACCAGTTAATCCTTCGAGAAGTTATTTAGATGTCGATAGGATTCAACCCCATCAACAACGAATTTCTTTTTCTATGCCTCTTTACGTTCTAGATAAGTCTGTTTTGTTATAGGGATTCTGACGAAACAACTGTGTCACTGCATTTATCTTTATCAATAGCTTTTTTCAATCGTTTCCCATTCGTGAAATCATCTATCTTGGAGAATCAATGAAATTTGTGTAAAAAAAGATTAGATTCTAAATTAAGAATGGTATAAGGTGTTCATTCAAAGAAGATTTCGTCTCTATGATGTATCTTTTGATAACTCCACTTCTTAGTAAAACTTATTTAGGAGTTAGTTCACAGCAAATGTTACAGGTTATTGTCAGTTAGCAGTAGGATGGGTCAAAGTTTTGAGAAATAACATTGTGTGAAAAATAGGGAGTAATCTTCACATAATCCAGAAATTTGACAGGTAATCAGTTAAGCGTTGAATAATCTTATGGAAATAATTGGTAGGAAATGAAGTAACATAGAGATGAAAATGAGCTACAAAACTATAAAACAAAGGGGTTATATACAGTTTATTAAGTTCAAAAAATTCGGAAAATCCAATATACTCTAAAGCCACGTTAGTAAAAGAAGGTAAGACAAAATGTTTCTGATGATCTTGGATAGTTGGAGGCAGTCGGCAGGAAGCCTTGCCTGACCTAGTGCTAGTTGGCACTCACCAGTCAGCAAGGCGTATGTGCAACCTTGAAGGTACTCATGTCGGTTCTGAGACTCGAAGCCGCGTCACCAGCCAGTGCTGCAGTCAGAGACGTTACCACTGAGCTATTCGGGCTCGCGACTGATCTCCTGTAGGACTGTAGTGGGTATTTCCACTGAACACTAGTAAACTAGTTTGACGTATCTAGTCCTTTCTTTGGTGCAGAGTTAATTCTATCTGAATATAGAGTCCTAGTGTTTGCTTTTAGATTGTTACAGCCCTGATTATATGAAGAAAAAACAGGCCAAATTCTATATGAAAGACCTGATGGTATTTTATCTATAAATCTAAATGAAGTCTTTGCTGATTCTGCTTTATCTCAAGTAATCATGTACCAAAGAATTGAGATGTTGACTTTTCTGTGTTTCGCCTTTTGATGATCAACCTTACAAAAGTATTCATTGGTTGGAGGATTTCATCATCGTGAGCTGACGTCAGTTAGAGAACCAGTGGAAAACCACCACTGAAGTACTGGACAGCTATTTCGTCAGCCTAGTTTCAGACTCTTCATCAGTACTCACCCACACCACAGTGAAGTTCGAAACCAGGACCTTCTGGTTACAAGGCTAGCTAGCTCGTAGACCGTTAAGCCACTGGGACGCTATCCACTGGCCAGCCCTTTGATACTAACTTCTCACAATTCACCAAATAGCGCGATCACTTCGCAATGTCTTCTTCGATGAGTAACGGTCCTCAACTTCAACGTGCTGTACCCTACTGGTTACGGTTTCCCTTGTATAACCCCGAGTAACTGGTCACCTGAGTAGGGCTAGACAGACGTGGTTCGACCTCTGTTGATATATTGCCTCCTAGGTCACTGAAATAGGCGCCAAAATGATAGGTAATATCCACTGCAGAAAATAAAATGACTTTTGAAGTTCAAAAGGTAAAATGGTTGAAGCTTTGGCGTTTGAGACGGTATGGAAGCAGGATTTGTGTCTCATTGGGAATACTTGCAGAAACATCCGGATGATGAGTCCCAAAATAAAGGATGAAATGCTCATCTCCTGGATTCCTTTGTTAATTATCAGTCACCAAATAACATTAGCCTAGTTTTATTTTGTTTTAATAAAATCATAAGCGCGCCTTTTAAAAATCTGCTGCTGTTACCAATAGCAATAATTTACACATAGGAGATTACATGGTAAACAGAATATATCTATATGATAAAATGGCGTGTAGGGTGTTTATTTAATTATGAATATTTATTCAAGCTTTACCTAAAAATGAGTGAATAGAAAAATTTTAGGACGGGAGAATATATATGTATATGTACATGATGATTCACTGTTTACGTGACCTGCAACCAAAACATTTGACCTTAACGTAGATGAAGCATCAGGTCACTGAATTTTCATCACTGCATACAAACCAGCCAACCGCATAGTCTTTTTTTGAGCAATAATTAGCAGTAATTTATTTAGTGATGAAAATAACTAACTATATAACTATCTGTGAATTCTAGTGATATTGTCTTTAGCATAGAGAAATGAATGCCTGCCTTTCTCAGTCAGTCTTTTGTGCTCACTGGCGACTGGCCCTATTCAGTTGGGCAGTTACCTGGGGTTCTGGTAGGAAACCGTGACCAGTAGGATACAGAAAGTTGAAGGTGAGGATAGTTACTCATCGAAGAAGACATTGAGAAGTGGTCGCGCTATTTAGTGAATTGTCAGAAGTTAGAATTCGTGGACTGGTCATTGGATTGTGTCTCAGTGGCCTAATGGTCTACGAGCTAGCTAGCCTTGTAACTAGAAGGTCCTGGTTTCGAACCCAATTGGGGTGGGTGAGTACTGATGAGGAGTCTAAAACTAGGCTGACGAAAGTGCTATCCAGTACTCCAGTGCTGGTCTTCCACTGGTTCTCTAACTGACGTCAGCTCATGATAATGAAATCCTCCAACCAATCAAACAAAATCTCTACAAACTAATACTTGATTCTGGGGGAATAATAGTTGAGTAACCAGTTATACATCATCATTGTTATGTTGAAGTAACAGTATAGAACAAACCAAAAAGCAAACACCATCCGCAATTTCAACATTTAAGTTAAACAAATTAATGAATGCGACTTGGTGAAACGATAAGATGAGAAGTTTAGAGACTGTATTGTTATATTTGTGCGTCGGTGGCATAGCGGTTAGGACGCTCGCCGACCATGCACATGGTCTGGGGTGCGATCCCCGGCCGACGCACTCCTTTACCTCGCTAAGCCAGAAATAATACTGGTGAAGACGAAAAGTTGGGCATGAGGCTAGCAGCCCCATCCTGTAAAATAAACGCTGCTACAGAAACTTGAAGACCTATGTTCCACTGGGAATGTGAAGGAAAAAATTGTAATATTTGCTCTTTTCCACATCTTATCATCTGGAGCGTTGGTCACACGTAAGGTTCAGCTTCAAATTTCTACGCCAACTCTACTATCCATTTGTAGGCCAGGAAGACAGGGAAGGTTAGATGTAAGGTTAACAACTCCACTCCGTGGAAATCAAACTACCACTACTGAAATTCGGAAATCGAAAGCTTGAAGCTCTATGTTCTACTCGGAAGGTAGGGAAGTGATAAAAAATATCACCTCTATTTATCAAGCCCTATAATTCTCATGTTTTTGATGAAATGATGTTTGGTATTCTACTGAGCTATTCAAATACAAAAGGTTTCACTCGAACTACGCAATGCAGACAGCTGGTTTTAATAGTTTTGAATCGTGGGAAATGCCCATTGGGACATTAAAGGGGAAAGAACAAGAATTTCATCAAAAATATCTTTTTGGCGATTTCATTCTCAAAAGCAGCGGTACAATCGCATTTTTATGCATAAGTTTACATGGACACAATTATTATTTATTTAATTCCACATAGTAACGAGGAAGATAATAATTTGCAACTTGAAACGAAAGTTTGAAGGTACGAATGTAGATTACAAGGGGCTTAGAGACAAGATTACATAGGATTAGAAAACAGTTACAACGTATGCAAAATAATAATATTTGATAATAATTTCAAAGGCGAATAAAAGGTGACCGTTATTATTTTCAACTTCATATGAATTACAAGAGGCTTGGAAACAAAAATTACGCAGGGATAGAACGAATTACAGGTGTGGTGAACAAAATGAGCATGGAGGCTAATTGAAATAATAACTTTCAACTTGAAATGTAAATTAGGAGGTGTGAATATAGATAGACTACAAGAGGCATAGAATGATTTACTAATGTATTGAACCAAGAACTGACTTCACGTAGAATCATGGAAACCAGGGTGTACTTAACAGTTGTTTCATTCAAGTTTGGGACGGTTCACCAGTACGTACTACTGATCCCAGTAGGGATCGAACGCAAAAGCGTCTGATTAAGAAATCCAATGGCCGGCCTATAGCTTCTGACTTCTTACAGTTCCTGTCAGTGTTATCCGATGGTTATTT